GATAAGTTATCTTTATCCTTATCTTCATATTCATCTTCATCTTCTTCCTCGTCTTGGTCTTCATCTTCTTCTTCATCTTTATCCTTTCCTTTATCCTGATCTAAATATGTCCATTCTTTTCTTAATTTACATATTCACCCCCACCATTGTTATTAGGTTAGGTATTTAAATTTTCTTTCCTCTTTGTCTTTATATTTAGGTTTCTTTACTTTTATTTTAATTTCTGTATTTATCCCTTTCTTCTTCTCCATACTCAAAATTATCTTCATCCTTGTTTGATTCATGTACATACATACATACATCTTATTCCTAAACTGCTGCTTCGCACGTTTCTTTAATTCACTATCAATATTAAAGCATACATTTAGGAGGCATTTCCGCCCCAACCATGTACATGTATGGCATTGGGATTGGTGTGACCTTTGAATTGATTTTTTCCCTCTATTTTAAACTAATTTGAAATTTTAAAAATTGCCTGCACATCAGCATCAAAATACCTTTCTAATGATATATAATTGTTTATACCTTAGAAGTACAGTTTAGCCGTAAAAGGGGTGTAAAGGAAACATGATTGCCTATTTATATAATTGATTATTATAACGTTTTTATCAACTTGCAATGTTGTGTGTCCAGACACCATTCATTGCTATAAAACATTTGCTTTGCAAAGATCCTATAAAGGTCTCGGCATCAACCTCGTCGCCTGGTATCATATCAAAACTCTAGAGGTAGATGACGCGTCGCCGCAAGTAGTTATATATTGCGCCTAAAAATATGCTCTATATACGTATGTATTTATATACATATATGTACGTATGTATGTGCACCAATCTATTAATACTGTTGAATTATTTTATTATCTATTGCAAAATTGTATACAGACAAGGCTAAAAAGTAGAAAATAAATAAAATAAAAAAATAAACTTTTTAATATACCACGCTTTTATAAATGGACTAAAAAGTAGAAGATAATATTTCTCAGTCCCATACAATTTGTTTTTATAACTTTTGATTTCGAAATTTTAGCAAAAGTCATTATAAACAATTTATGAGATTGAAAATGAAAAGCGTTGGGCGCTTGTAATAAGGTGCTGGCCCAATGCAGGCTTGCTTTGCTTGCTTCGGTGCGAGATGTGTATAAAATTATTTGTAATATACTAAAACGTATAAAGGCTGGCCAAATGGCAGCTTTTCTTCACTTGCTTTAAGGGCCTCAAAGTTTGAATTAAGCAAATGTCTTATTTGAAAGCGTTTTGTAGGATTTTGACAAAGAGGTATGTTCCTTTCAAAATACATAAATTCAAACAAAAATTTGCTTACTTAATTTAAAGAAGTCACAGAAAATGCAGGTAATTCGAAATTAAATAAAAATTATTCATTGTTTCCATATTTATATTTAACATATCCGTTATCTTATAGTAAAATGTTGCAAAGCCCACATTTACAAATTTTACACGAGAGGAAAAAACTTCTTATAGCTCTTTTCTTCTTTTTTTTAAGTTATAGTTTTTTTAGTAAATGTAGATATAGATATGTATGTATCATTATTATCATTTCTTTTAAATAAAAAGTGAAAATGAAAGTTTTTCATACATTTTTTAGAGTTTTCTAGGAAATAATTATTAACGTTAAGGGAACAGACATTGACTTTTCAACCAGACAGCTGGTTACTTTGACAGCGTTCCAAGCCACCATTCGGCCAAGCAAGTTTTCAAAGTAAATCAAAGCAAATTGAAGTCAGCAAGGCGCGCAAAGCAAGCCTGCATTGGGCCAGCGCCTATAGACTTGAATTGATAAGAAAAGTAATATATGTATGTACATATATGGGTATATGAATAACGATCGCTTAAAATCGATCTCAAATGTTGTACTTGCGCTTAGAAATTTTAGGTCTATGTTATGTACTTTGACTTTTGTCAGTTAAATCTAATTCTTTGTATTGCATGCGCTCCACGTTTTTCGTTTTCAATCTCATAAATTCATCATTATAACTTTTGCTAAAATTTCAAAATCAAAAGCTATCAAAACAAATTCTATGGGACTGAGATATACTATCTTCTACTTTTTAGTCCATTTATATAAGCGTGGTATATTAAAAAGTCTTTTATTTTATTCATTTTATAATTACATTAGTTGGGTTTTCATATT